CACACACACACACACATACATATATATACATATATAAATATATATGTGTGTGTGTGCGAGTGTGTGTGTGTGTGTGTGTATGTGTGTGTAAGTGTGAATGTATGTATGTATATATATATATACAGAACGTGTTGGTAAAGATGAATAGATAAACGAGCACAATAAGAAATCATACTAAATTGTAACGATTCGAATTCGTCAAGAGTTCTTCATCAGGCGAGTGAGTAACCAAAATTTCAGTTATTTATTTGTCTGATCAGGAACTCTTGAAGAGTTCGAAACGTTTCGATCTGTTTCATTTATTATTGTGGCTGTTTTCCTACTTATACACGCACACATACACAAGCAACCCACGCTCTGCTCAGTGTAACACGACACAACTAGTCTTGCCTTGAAGCTGTCATCGACTCTTGCGCTTTTCACGGGATGGACGAGAGTCGAAGGCAGTTTCAGAGCAAGGTTAGATTCCACGTGGCGCTTGGCGGAACGTTCCATCTTGGAATTATATATATATATATATATATATATATATATGTGTGTGTGTGTGTGTGTGTGTGTGTGTGTGTATACACCCACACAGATAGGGAGTTGTACGATGACGCATATTCTTACTGTTTTAGGTCATTAGAAAGCATGGCATCATTATCAATACAATTCAAGGCCCGAGTTCCTTTCCTAGAACTTGTTCACGTTACTTATTTATCTTTTTCTTACCATTATTATTATTGTTAATAATGGCTAAACAAAATAAAAGAGAGTAATCAATAATAATCACGCAGTTACAATAATTGTAAAAAAAATAAGTTAAGTGTATTATATATTACTTTCCTCTTACATCACCTTCCAAAATAGATTGCTAATGTTTCAAATGACATTTTCTACTCCTGCATTCGAAACACATGTTAATACATCCACGGGACATGTGTTTCGAATATGAGTCACCCGTTTGTAACCTTGCACCTCGTGGAAGTCTAGGTCACCGTCGCCCGAGAGAATGAAGAGGTCGTTGGGAAAACAAGACCGGAATTATAGTAGGTAGAATTCTGTTGACAATATCGCTCTGTACATGACGCTAGCGACAGAAATGACGATAGCATTAGCAATCATTCTAACAGTGATAGTAATTGATCCGCAAGTAATGGACGATAAATAGATATTCAGAAAAAAGTCAATCTCGTTCACGTACTTAAAAACAAAATTCAGTAGTTGGTATTTTCAACATCAATATTTCACAAACAAAGAGCAGGGTAGTACAAAATAAGGCTCTGCTTGCTGTATCTTGCAACTCTAACACATGTCTGTCTGGTTCCCCCCCTCTCTCAATCAATCTCTCTCACTCTCAATCATTCTCAATCTCTATCTATCTATCTATCTCCATTTTTTCGTCTCCCTCTCCCTCACTCTTTATCTTTCACACACACGTAATCATTACCATTTCATAATTTTTACTATCATCATTGTTATTATTTTACCTGCAAGTAATCAATGATTCCTGGTCTCGTCACACAACTCTTCAGAGGATGACCTACAGGAACAAGGGCCGGCGATCGCCGAACCTGCAGAGGACGTCACCAGCCTCGATGCCTTTCCTAAAGCCCCTTTAGCAGCTCCATCACCAGCTCTAGCTCCAATACAGCCGCTTACTCCAGCTCCATCCTCTTTCCCAGATCCTTCAGTGACCTCACACACAACCCAGGCTCCCTCCATCACCCGACTCCTACCGGTCTTTATGTCTTCGGAGGTCGTACGCGCCCCGGAGAGCATGGGCCAAGGTCTTGAAGTGGATGGCGTGTATTTGCCCCCGACCAGGCGTCGCGTCTTACCCAAAGGCTTGCGATTCTCTCCTAACATTGTGAACCAGCCGTTCCTGCCCTGTCCCGGGGTATGCGAGACGCGCAACAGTAATGGAGATTGTGAAATTGATGTCACGTGTATTTTCGCATGAAAGCTACGTGTCTTTGGTGAATAATGCTAATTCAAGTCACCGTTCACTGGGTTTTATTCCTACCTTCTCTCTGTTCTACAATGGAGAAGAAAATGAGTATTAAGATAAAATAGTCAAAGAACAAAAAAATGGCTTTCAAATATATGGTTTCGTTTATTTATCATTATCATTAATATAAAGTTTCCACTTTTATAATTTAGATGCTTTACTGCATAATATACTTCCCTCCACATTTTCCAACAAAATGATATCATCCACGAACATCAAACAGTTCATAATTCATTTATATCTATACTATCCACGTATTTGCAATAATAATAACACTTTGACATTAACACTGATTTCAACATTTCCTTCCTCATCAACCACCTTATTCAGCATACACTTAGTTCATTGCGTACAGTCTGTCTGTCTTTCTCTCTTTCTTTCTCTCTCTCTCTCTCTCTCCTTCCCTACCACTCTCACTCACTCTCTCTCTCTCTCTCAGTCTCTTTGTCTCTCTCTCTCTTTCTCACGCACAAATACAGACACACCCACCCACACACAAATTAGTCTAAAAGCTTTGCAGCCGTTGAATAACCCGTCGGTTATCATTATCATTTTTATCCTTACTTTTCTTATAATTATTATCTTCGTTGTTGTTATTATTATCATTATTACTATTGTTATTGTTATTATTATTGATATTATTATGTATTATAATTTTATTATTATTATCATTATTATTATCATTATGATTATTATCATCATCATTATGATGATGATTATTATCATCATCATTATAATTATCATTATTCTCTTTATTATTGTTACAATAATTGCCATTACTGTTATCACAATTACTATTCTTACTATACTATAAATTTTCAACTTTATCACCACGATTATCATCATTTTCTTCATCACAGATATTAATATCACTTTTCCTATTTCTACAGTTACGTAATGTATAGCCAAATATAATTATGATAATAAGTAGCATAGTTCTGTTTGTGAAACGTCAATTGACAAAGGTTTACGTTCATGTTTCAAAACTTGTTCATCCAGTTTGCATGCCCCACCTCTACATAAGTGGCAGTGGTAACCATGGCCTGCTTTTATAGGAAAATTTTGGTGAAGCTCGGGGTCTGGTAGGGAACTTGTCTAACACTTGGCGTATGGCACACATCTTAGAAACACACACACACACATAATATATATATATACACACGCACACACACACACACACACACACACACACACAACACACACACACACACACACACACACACATATATATATATATATATACCGTAAAAATTAGCTAGAATAACTCGATCAGGTAACAACAAAACCAAGGCAAAATATGTCAGGTATGACGTGGTCTATTAGAAATGACAAACGGCAGATGTTTCCATTGTTGGGGTACCCTTGGCAGAGCTCAAAAACTAAAACATGAAAATCTAGATCAGCTCATATAAGGGCCAACTACATATGATAGAGTGACACCACCACCATGAGGAAATACCAATGCAAGACATATGCACTGGCGGGGGCCTGCAGGAGACAACCCAAAATAACCACACCCTTAAACTGAACTGATCTTCGGCACTGAACTAGCTTTACCAGATGCAAGTTTTTCCTCATCCTTATAATAATAAGAATAATATTGTGTATAACGACTGTTTAAATGAGCGACGCTTTCTGTTTAACAGATACAATTACATTATTATAACCGATAGGGATAGTTTGATAATCAAAATAGGTTTGTGTTTGGAAATCAATTTACCGTAGATTTGCGGGGAAAAGCCTTAAAGAATATGTGGATACAAGCAGATACGGTGAACCCTCACATACCTCCTGTCGGAGTTCCTCCTTGAACATATGTCACCACGGGCACAGCTGCTTTGCACCCCTTTCTTTACCGAGCCTGGCGACCTATTTTATTCATGAGAAAGGTCACGCCCTTTCGCTTTCATGTACAGCTGGAGGAATCTGACACGCCAACGAGCAGAACCAAGCACCTGGCCTCGAGGGGAGCCGCCACATATGAAGGGATGCATCCTAGGCACCGTGTGCAGAGAGGAGGGAAACAGACATACCGACACAGGCAGAGACAGACAGTCTAGCTCGTAGCTACCACGTCCTCTATGCCTAGGGAGATGGAAGTCTCACAATTACCTTCCTTGAAGAGCAATTAGCCCAAAAGTTTATTTTACCCACACTAAGGCTCCGGTTTGTCAATAACAACTTAAAGCTCCCGACTATCTTTTCCTTCTATCTTTTATTATTCAGGAAAAGTTTCGGGAGATCTGATTTCAGAAATTACAATAATTAAAATATATCAGTGACTCATGGCTACTACTAATGATAATACTGATAGTAATGTCAATCATGGCAATAAAGATAATAATGATAATGATAATATTAACAATAATAACAACAATGATAATAATAATCATAGTAATAACAATAAAAATCAAGATAATAATAACAGTAATGATGATAATGATAATACTAAGAGTATTTGCAATAAAAAAAATAATATTGTAGATAACAATAGTACTGCTACTAAGTAATGATAATGATAATAATGATAATGATAATAATTTGATAATGATGATGATAATGATAAAAAGACCGGAGGGTCACGCTTCACAAACCCATCGAATATTTGAGTTTCGGAGAATAGTATAACTGTTTTTACTTTATCTACAGCTTGTCGAAGCAAAATGACACTTTCATAATTCATAAGAAAGAAATCTTGACAAGCTAGAGAAAATCTGTTCTGTAGACATGGATACAAATTAGCATGTGTGTGAGTGAGAGTTAGTGCAAAAATGGATGAATGGGTGGTTTTGCGTGTGTTTGTGTGTGAGCGAGTGAGACCGTAAGTGGATGAAGGTGAGTGATTGTGTGAGTGCGTGACAGTATGAAAGTGACTGCAGGTGTTTGTGTGAGCGAGTGAATGCGCAAATGAATGAATGAGTGATTGCATGCGTGTATGTGTTTGTGCGATGTGTTTGGAAAGAGAAAGTTGTTGGCCTTTGCTAGAGACACGATCCATAGGTGAGGTGGTTGCCTTGCGTGACGACGTAGCTATTTTACTGTTGGCACTTGGCGGCTTCGGGTGTTTCCCAAAAGCTCTTTTCAGGTAGGTATGAGCTCTACCTTGCACATACAACTATAATGTGTTGAATGTTAATTCTCTTGTTAGTCTGCGGTTAACGTGATAAAAGGTGTATCCCATAGTACAGGTGGGGCGACAGGTCTGAAAATTAACCGCGCAGATATGTGTTTGTATATATGAATCTGTAGAGGGAGAGTTACGTGAGCAATTTGACTTCCTGAAGAACTTTTCGATGAAGTGTATTGCTTGAGGGCTTGTAATCCTGACACACGGTTGTGGTAATTCTTGGGTGCACGATCAATTCACAATTTTATTGACAGTGGTGATAATTCTGATTATACTAGGAAGAACATTGTTGGTGATGATAGTAGGGACGAAATGAAATAATTTCTAATAACAAAGGTACTAAATATGATTATGATGATTGTTATTAACCGTAATGATAATGACAATGGAACAAAACACCGTGTTAGTGAATTAATTTGTTAACTGTGTTAGTCAATTGCTGTGTTAACATTATTCATAAGTGCCATTTACATGACTGGGTAGCTTTCCATTAGCCTAAGTGAATGTGAATATTAGTCTCGCAGCCAATCTCAAGCATTTGTTTAAGTTCATCATATGTATATATAAAAACATTGATATAACTCACGTCAAAACAGCTGGAAAATTAACTACTTAGAAGTTATTGATGACTGGACACAGGTAACTGGACGCAATACGGGTGAGTAAACATAGCACGCAGCACCGGACAAATAAAATATAACTAGACGGAACGGTGAATAACTGGCCTCCGCGCGTCTCTTTGCAGAACGAGCCACTCATGGAGATCCGCGCCCTCTTCCTCTTGTTCTTCGTCCTCCTTAGCGGCGATGCCTTCGGAAGAAGTACCGAGGGAGCGTCGGACCAAGAGACCAACCAGGAAGAGTCTGTAGAAATTCCATCTTCAGAAGACTCAGGGGAAGCCTTGACGCCGTGGGAGCTAAGGGCAGGGCTGTCGGAGCGGAGAAGTCAGTCACTCTTTACAGAAAGTCAAGGTTGGTGCCTGAGCCTGTTTGCCGATTTATATCCGCTGGAGGTGAGATCGTATGTAAACGGACACACACACCTATATGTGTGTGTGCTTATAGTTTAATGATTTGCATATATATCGATTCCATATATATACATACACATACACAGGAAATATGTACATGTATTTATATTATATTTATTTATTATCTATTTATATGTGTGTACGTGTGATTTATATGTTATTTTCGTTCATACATATAATGATATACTGTACCTATATACATATATATTATATTCCCACACATATGTGTACATAAATTCATGTACATAAATAGAAAAAAAAAACGATTTAACTGATATTTGCGGCAGAAAATTCTCATTGTAAATCTGTTAATACCTTATTTGTAAGTGAAAATAATTGTATGAGAGTACGTCACTAAATACCAAAGTAAAAACCGTTTAGGATTCATGATATATTTTCGGTTTACAATAAGAATGTGATGAATTAAGATTCGTTCAGCGAGCTCTCTTGCAATTTGAGGACTTGGAAAAGTGGTCATTACTAATGATTCTGCTTGCTCATCCTGTTACAAGCTACGCAAAGTTTTTATATATGTGTGTGAGTGTGTGTAATATTTGATTTTACACATTTTGACTTCATCGCTCTTCGTATAAACAGGTTTTTATTCACATTTTCTCATTTCACCGAAAAGTATTCTCAGTATTTTCGAATCTGTTCAGGACACGTCCAACAGGACCAAGGGTCATCGGTCGCTCACACGCCAGGAGAGGGAGCCAGGGTTCCCGTGTTTCCTCAAGCTCCTTCGCCAGCTCTAGCTCCAGTTCCAGCTGCTCCGGCGTCTACGCCGCTCTCATACATCATCCGACTTGTGCCAGTGTTCATGTCGTCGCAGTTCGTGGGCGCTCCGGGCGGCGTCAACGGCCTGTATTCGCCCCCAAATCCAGAACCAGATACAATAATAAACTCTGCCCCACCGAGTGCTGCGCACTCAAGCCGTGTTTCCCATCCATGTATCAAAAAGTGCGAGTTTCGCAATATGAATGGAAAGTGTGAAGTTAATGAAATATGTCGTTTCATGATGGGGTAGGAAACAATGAACCGTATTCAAATGTAGAAAAGGTGTGAGAATTGAAAATGAATATTTTCACAATATTATTAAGATAGTCATGCTCATGTATACTTTATCTATGTAAACAACCGTGTTTCACCCTTCCCGCCAGGTATAATTAATCAAGGCGTCATGAATACCTTTTTAACACTTATGTACTTTTATTTTACCTGTTCAGTTTTAAGTGTGAATATCAAGTTATCCCTGCGTGTTTTATATGTTCTCCCTTTTTTACATTTGGTACTTTTGATATTTTAATGTTTCAATTTTACAGTCAATATGTACTTATTATAAAACATAAAATCACACTACCATGTTGGGGCTCGAGAATGCTGGGCTGAGTATTTTGAGCAATTGTATCAGGTTAGCCCTCCAACAATTAATTTGGGCGGAGTGGTGTAGCAATCCACATGCCAGGTCCATCCAGCAGCGAAGAACCTTCATATCCTGACTAAGGTTTGGGAGGGGGGGGTCGATCTCGAAGCTGAGGGGTGACAAAGCAGTGGGCAAATGTGTATCCCTGTTGAATTACTAAAGGCTGGTGGTGAACCTGTGGCGCATGGCTTGCAGGTTGTTCTGGTTACGATCCGGTAGTCCAGTACCATTTCCCCCGACCTGTTGACGGGTGTGACCACACCTCTTTAAAGTGACATAGCATACCAAGCAAGGTTCTCGTTCACATTCTTCTGAGACGTATCCGAGCCTATCTGCTGAGACAACAGAGACCGGAGGATTACTGGATTAATAGCAAGTCTGTATACTGGGACTGAAAGTTATGTATGTCGAGTTTCCTGTTAATTCAGGGGGGGGTGGGGTAAGTCTGTATTGTCGCACCAACGCTTTTCAACACTTGCATAGACTGGTTGCTGGGTACAGCCTAATGCTTTTACCAATGAAATGAAGCTCTTGGGTTAAGGGACTTCTGAATATATATATACACACAGATATACAGATATATACACACATGCGTATATATATATATATATATGTGTGTGTATACATATGCATATACATACATGCAATACACATACGTATACACACACACACATATATTCATACATATGAATATATATATGTATATAAACATACATGTATATATATCTATGTATATAATTATATATACACTTATATGCATAAATATATACAGATATATATCACAAACACACACACACTGCATATATAAATGGGTGTGTTTGTGTGTGTTAAGACCGTGCTATTAGTAAATGTAATAAAATGTATTTTACATCTGTGTTATCTTTTATTAGTGCTTTGTCCAATTTATTATTATGTTTGATGTTTTCCTTCATTTTCGCTGGTACTGCAAATACACAGTAACTTAAACCCATTCGCGCCGGGTGTCACATATACGTGACAGGCCCACTGTGAGTTTACTTGTTTAATTGTTTTTATACATAGATGGCTACACTTGTACATGTACTGCCTGTCTCGCCCGCTTACCTGTTTCTTTAATTTACGAAATTATTTTACGTTATCTTATTTTGCTGTTACTAATGTTCATAATATTATAGTAATTATAATGTTTATAATAAAATAACCATCGATATTCATAGCACTAGTAAAAAATACATTTTCCCGCCAAATGAAATCAGGTAAAGCAGAGCCATCTAGTGTAGAGAAATTTCACAAAAAGTATAAAAAATGAGCACAGCATTTTCCCCCATTTTTTGTTCATTTTTACCTGGCATGAATGGGTTAATGTCATCACGAAAATAGTAGAAAGTGCCCACTTTATTTTCATTTGGTATACTTTTTCAGTGGGGTTTGATCTTATTTTTAGTTCTTCCATATTCAATATATTTCTTCTTTTTCTTTTTTTTTCACGTACAATCTTTCTCTGGACTACTAGCCGCATTTACCCCAGGCCTACCGTGCCTTCGGAGGGTTCATATACATATACATATAGATGAATTCGCAGCAGATTCAAGGAGAAATAAAAGTTTGTAAATAATAAAAATACATTAAATGGAAGTGCTAAAAATAGAATCAAACCTGTAATAAAAAAATGAATATATATATATATTTACAGAATAAAAATATACAAAAGTATATAAAATATATACAGTATATATATATATACATATATATATATTATATATATTATATTATATATATATATACACACACACATATATATATATATATTTATATATTATATACATTATATTATATATATATACATATATATATACAAATATATATACATATATATATATATATATATATATATATATATATATATACATATATAAACATATATACATATATATATATTATATATTATATATATATATATATACATATATAAACATATATATACATATATATATTATATATTATATATATATGTATATGTATATATATATTTGTATATATATATGTATATATATATGTATATATATAATATAATGTATATAATATATAAATATATATATGCATATATATATATATATATATATATATATATACACACATATATAAACATATTATATATTATATATATATATATAATATATAACGTATACATACCGTATATATATATATATAGTATATATAGGGTATATACATACAGTATATATATACAGTATATATCTGTATAACATCATCATCATCTAGGCGCTAACACCGACGGGGGCGCATGACCGCATCCACACTTCCCTACCAACCACGAGGGTCCCTCATGGCGAGTCTCCAGACGGGCCCTCGGCCCTTCTCCAATTATTGCAACAGGTCTAGTCGATATGCCCAAGGCATGACCTCCTAGGTCGTCCCACGGGCCTCCTTCATCCTGTATTGTCTTGCAGAGAGGCAATACTGGATGAGGGGCAGCATCATCCACAGGGAAACAAATTAGGTGCCCATATAGCCTGAATTGGCGATTCCGGATTATGGAAATAACAGCTCCCATGCCAGTCTCATGGTATAGCTGTCAGTTGGATATATGGTCCTACCAACTGTACCCCATGATCTGGCAAAGAGACTTGTTACAAAAGGCATCAAGACAAGCCTCCAAGGAACTAGATAGCATCCAGGTTTCACTTCCGTAGAGCAAAACTGGCAGTATCAAGGCCTTAAAGGCACGTATCTTGGTCCTTCTGCATAGGTACCAACATCTTCAAATGCCCTTGTTGATCGAGTTTTTGGCTCCTGCTGCTAGGCTAACCTGTCTACTGACTTCTTGGTCTGACAGCCCAGAGATATGGACTACGCTACCAAGGCATACAAAGCTCTCTGTGACTTCAGTGTCCTCACCACAAGCATGGATCGAGTGTTTATTCTAACAGGCCCCCAGAGTCCTGGATCTTGGTCTTGGTCCAGGAGACATCTAGTCCCAAGGGCTTTGCAATAATGCTAAATGCATCAAGAGCCACCACCAGTTACTTCAGAGACTGAGGATAGCAACATCAATGGGAAAGTCAAGGCCTGAGACCTTGATATTGCACACTTATGTTCCACACAGACTTTGGATATTAGGTCAGCCCAATATCCAGTTCATGCAGGTGTTGAAAAGTGTTGGTGCAAGGACATAGCCTTGCCTCACCCCTGAATTTACAGGAAAGAAATTCGACAGGCCCCCACCACACTTTACAACACTTTCAGTACTGGTATATAGGCTTGCTATTAGGCCAATAACCCATGTCAGAATTAATCTAAGTCTCTGAATCTCCCATAATGATTCTCAATGCACCGAGTCAAACACCATCTTGAGGTCGGTGTAGGCTGCAAGCAATCCACGAACGAACTTATGAAGGCATTTCACAGTTACTACAGCCCCACTGATCTCTTTTCCCCTTCCAGAGAAGGATGACCATGCCCCTCCTCAGGTCAGGGGGAATGGAACCAGACTTTCTGATGGCAGTCAAGACTACATCCAAGCCCCATGCCATAGGTTCACCCCCAGCCTTTAGCAGTTCAGCAGGGATATCACATACGCCTGTGGCTTTCCCACTCTTCAGCTTAGAAATCAACATCCTAACCTCAGTTATGGTAGGAGGTTCCTCACTGATGGGTGGCTAAGGCACAGGTATTGAGATACCACTTGGATCTAACTATTGGAGGATCTACCTGGTACAGCTGCTCACAAAACTCTCCCCAACATGATCTGAAATGATCTGTCCATCCACTGAGCAGACTGCAGCTATCTGCGAGGATGGCTTGCAATTCAGTTTTCTCAGGGCTTGGTAGGCAGGGTGAAGTTCGTTTGCCAGGAAATGACCTTCAACCTCCTCAGCAAGATTCCTGATGAACTGTTCCTTGTCTCTTCTCAGCAATTTCCATGCCCTATGCACCAAAGAATGATGCAAGTCCTTATTGCCATTCAGCCAAGCCGTGCAACATGCTTCAGTAGCCTCCAATGTCTCTGGGGAGATGAAATTCTGCCTTGCCCTCGGGTGTATGCCAATGGACTCCTGCAATGTTTCACGCTTGAAAGACTGTCAAGTTTTCAAATTCTGTGAATCAATCAGAACCCATGGGCACACTCCTCCTCCCTCAGTCTGTCCAAGTGAAACAAACCCTAGAGTGTCCATTGGAGGGACGAAGAGTTTTGAAGTGGACCTGCAGGGTAGCCACTACTAGGTTATGGTCAGTGCCCCAGAACTCGGCACTCTGGTAAACCCTGCAATTCTGAAGGATCCTTCATCGAGTGCTACCAAAAATGTGGTCGATCTCCTTGGCCATATTGTTATTCCATGTCGAGCTATGTGGGTTGGAGCATTGATACCAGGAGCCAGAAATCCTCAAACTCTAGGACCTTGCAAAGTCTCAGAGGAGGCTGTTCTTGCTGTTGGGATCAGCTCCTGAGCCATGGAGACCAACAGACATCTGGTAGCCAGCTCAATTGCAGTTGGATACCACATTGAAGTCTCCAAGAACAATGCAAATATCTCGCCAGGGGCAATTGTCTGTCACGGATGTGAGTTTAGCAAAGAACGCTTCTTTCACATCGGGTTTGCAAACATTGGTAGGAGCGCACACAGCAATTAGAGACATGAAGCCAAAAGCATGTTCCAACCTCAATGCCATAATACACGACTGGAGATGGCTATGGTTACTCCAAGGAGGGGATGACCATCACCATGGCCTGATCAATGGTTGGTGTACCCACCCATACTGATCATGCCGCTGCCTCTGAGAGGGCAGCCATGTCAACTCCCAACCACTCCAATTCCCTTGATAGCTGAGATAACAGCTCATCCTGCTGCAAGGACCAGATGTTCCAAGTGCCTACCCAGGTAGCTCGCCTGAATTTAAGCATCGGGTGGTCACTCCAGGTGGAAGCCACCCCTGACGATGCCTGCCTGTGGGGGTTTCCTTGGGCTTTTCCCCACAGGTTTCATGCTGGGTTAGTGCCTGCCAGGGTGCAGGCGGGATAAGCAACTCTTGTTCCCATCCTGCACCACAACATTTGCCCTCCCAATGGGACACCCCCTAACTGGAGGTTGAGCGATGCTGCACACTGTGCCCTGCAGCTAGCAACACACCTCTTTGGTCCTCTATTCTGGTTAGTGATCAAGGCCTGGTCAAGTCAATTGGTTGGTCAAATATGGTTGGTCAGGCAGGCACTGTCCAGTCAGTAGCGCATAGGTCCCACGACTGCCATCAGTACTGTAATGGTGACTATATATATTTCCTCACTGCCCCTGTGGCTGTTGGTAGATTTTGAGTCACAACTATATCTATAGGTGGGGGACTGGGTGAGGAAATGGGAATGAATGGGAATCGTAATGGTTCCCAAGCTCTCAAACCTGGTAAGGAGAAAAGTCCTCAATCCATTTAAAGTAGTGGCAGTAAAAACATTTAAAGATGAAAGTTGATGGTTTGGAACAGCTCTCCTTCTAACTGTTGAATCGTTAGTCCTTCCAGAATCAGTTAAGTTGGCATGGTACCACCTCAGGCTAAAGCCATATGTGCCTAATCTTATGCGGTGCTTCCA